TGGGTTCGGCACGACGATGGCTCAACGCTTAGAGCAGGCCTAACAAGTGCCCGCGAGCTCAGCCTCACTTCCATGTCGTCTCATGCGAACAAAACATATTCAAATGTAGTTCAATTAACGTGAACAAAACATATTGTCATGTAGTTCACTTGTCGAGTCATTTTTTTGAACAACTCCAGAAAAAGAAATATGTTTTTTATGTTTATTTGAAGATAACAAACGACCAGCCTCGCTTTCGTGCAGTGTTGATCACGTCATCAGTATTTAGTACTTAAGTCTATGGATATGTATTAGATAGACGTATATTAAAGATTTCTGGTATTTTTGTGGAAATTTATTGTAGTTAATTGTATTTACACGCCATTATATATTCGAGCCTCGATTCCATGTTGAACCATATAGGTCTAAAAATGGACCCCCGATAGCGGCCGCCGGTGCAGGTTACAAAATTGCCGACAACATTGTTTGTGTTTCTTAGGGTCCCCTTAACACATCTAGGTAGGTGGTTTGCTTTCACCATAAAATCCCACGGGATTACATATGCTCCCTGACTATATAGCTAACAGAGTTTTTAAGACACTGCGAGTTAAAACGCGGGACGATTTTGTTACTACTCCTTCTAAAGTTGTATGCAGTGCAGGGCTTATTTGTCAAGTATGAGAGAGCCGCAGGTGCTTCACCTATAAACACGCTATGGAGTAGTTTAATTAATCGAAGTTTATAATAGAGGGTTAAAGTATTCCAGTTCGAATGTCGGTAAACTTCCTCAGTAAGCATATCTCGGGGCAAGTTTTTCATTATTCTGGCTGCCCAACGGTGAAGTACTTCCAGAGAATGTAGAAAGTCCGCATTAGGGCAGCCGCCTCAAATGACCAGTCCATATAGAACTGATGGTAATATTATCTTGAAGTAAAAGTCCAATAGGGCGTTTCTGCTCAAGAACTTGCTCCTTTTCAGGAGGTTCAGTTTGTTTACAAAATTCTTTTTTACATCTGTAAGGTGATGTGACCAGGAAAGCCTGTCATCGATAGTAACGCCCAGAAGACGAGTGTGTTTCACCCACTCAAATCGATCCTCTCCAATAGTTACAGAGTTTAGCGGCCCGATATGCAGTTTTCTCATTAACAGCATAGCTTCTCACTTTGGTGAGTATAGGGGGTTAAAGAGTTCTGTATGCACCAACCGTTCAGTTCCGGTAAAGCGTTATTTAAAGAAGTGACAGTGTTATCAACAGTGTCCCCGATGCAATAAACGGTGGTGTCATCTGCGTACATAAAGACAGAGCCTGAGGTAACAGCACTTGGTAGGTCATTGGTGTACAAGGCGAACAACGTCGGGCCAAGTGCTGACCCTTGGGGAATCCCGCAAGTGACGTTTAGCACAGTTGAGTGCTGGCCGTTTACTACCGAGAATTGAGTTCGATCAGTTAGATAGTTCGTCAGCCATGATAGAAGAGAACCTTGAACTCCAAATTGAAAATTTAACTTATGCAATGGGATAGCGTGAGATACTCAGTCAAAAGCTTTTCTGAAGTCAACAAACGCCACAGCAACCACTTCATTGGCATCAATAGCTGTTCTCCAGATTTCTGAAAGGTGTACCAGCAATAGTTCAGTAGAATGCCCCTCACGGTAAGCACACTGTTTATCTGTAACCAGCTTATTTTGGAAAACATGTCGAACGACAGATTCTGATACACAAGATTCCATTACCTTGCTTGGAACACTAAGAAGCGATATTGGTCTATAGTTATTTGTGTCAGTTTCATCATTTTTTTTATATACTGGGATCAGACGAGCTTTCTTCCAATCAGTAAAGGTTTCTCCAAGGTGAGCACAGAATGAGAATAGACCATTCGAGGGAGAGACAATGACAGGCTCAGCTAGTTTTAATAATTTAGGTGCAATGTCATCAGGACCCGCAGATTTATTTGGCTTGATGGCTTTTAATTTACGCCGGACTGAATCTTCGTAGACGGTGATATCAGTCACAGAGGGCACTGAACAACCGATGCGATCGCTCTGTTGTGGAAAATTTCTATTGGCTCGTCCAAGTCTTGTGCCGATATTCGCAAAGAAATCATTTATTAAGTTTGCCTTTTCAAGGCAAGGCTTCCATCCTCCCTCTTTTAAAGGTCCAATTCTGTTTCTTCTAACAGGATTTGTGGCTTCTGCCATTAAATTCCAGTAAGCCGCTGCAGAATGAACGGAGGAAAAATATTGGCTAAGCATATACGACAATTCCTCCGTAAAAATAATGTGTAACTAATTGTGCAAAACAACGGCAAAGAAAGACAAAAAGCGTGCTGCACCTGCAAATTTGTTTTTTTGCTGATTAGAAAAAAAAAGTGTGCTGCACGTGCAATGTGTTTTTTGCTAATTAGATTCATTGCCGTGCCCGTTTAGCATTACACGACTTAACTTTTTTTGATTATAAGTATTATTAACCAGAGCTTCGCTTTTAGCCCTGGCTAAATCTATATATTATCATTGTTTGTTAC